GCAAAGCGGCGGTAGACTTTGTGGCTGATTACTTGGAGAACATCAGAGATCATGATGTGTTGCCCTCTGTGGAGCCGGGCTATTTGTTGGATCTGTTGCCCAAGCAAATGCCTGAGACTCCGGAAACTTGGAGCGAGGTGCTAAAGGACATCAATCGAGTGATCAAGCCAGGCATCACGCATTGGCAATCGCCCAATATGCATGCCTACTACCCCACCAGTGTATCCTACCCCTCAATTGTGGGCGAGATGCTGGCCAGCGGCTTCAGCATTATGGGCTTCAGTTGGGTACGTGCAGGTGAAATCTCATCTCTTGTTCAATCGAACTGAATGGAAGCCCTTTGTCCACATGCGGCAAGTGAAAGCGACAAAGAACTTGACAAACGAGTTGTTAAAGTCGCAAGCGAGCAGACAAACAAAAAAAAACTTTATTTATTTATCTCGGGGGACTGGGTCAAGCTTTATAAAATTAACTGCATTTACCCAAATGACTAAACATATTTTCCCTTTCCGTATTTGCAGATCTGTAGTCCGGCTTGCACGGAGCTGGAAGTGGTCGTTATGGATTGGCTAGCCAAGTTTCTGAATCTTCCCGAGCACTTTCTACATGAGAATGAGGGACCTGGTGGCGGTGTCATTCAAGGCTCCGCCAGTGAGGCAGTGCTGGTGGCTGTGCTCGCCGCCAGAGAGCAGGCAGTGCGACGTCTGCGACTCAGTCATCCAGAACTAAGCGAGAGCGAGATTAGGGGCAAACTTATTGCCTACTCATCGGATCAGAGCAACAGCTGCATTGAGAAGGCGGGCGTCCTGGCAGCCATGCCCATTAAGTTGCTGCCAGCTGGCGCGGATCTTGTGCTGCGTGGCGATGCACTGAAGCAGGCCATTGAGCAAGACGTGGCGGCAGGTCTTATACCAGTCATCTGCATAGCCTCGCTAGGTACCACAGGCACGTGTGCCTACGACGACATAGAATCTCTGGCCAGCATATGTGAAAAGAATCAAGTATGGCTGCATGTGGATGCAGCATATGCTGGTGGCGCCTTTGCTTTGGAGGAATGCTCGGAGCTGCGTCGGGGCTTGGATCGTGTGGATTCGCTTAACTTTAATCTACATAAATTCATGCTAGTCAACTTTGATTGCGCCGCTATGTGGTTGCGCGATGCCAACAAGGTGATTGACAGCTTCAATGTGGACCGCATCTATCTAAAGCACAAGCACGAGGGTCAGACGCAGATTCCAGATTTTCGCCATTGGCAGATTCCGTTGGGTAGACGCTTTCGCGCTCTGAAAGTGTGGATCACGTTCCGCACACTTGGAGCTGAGGGTCTGCGAGCTCACATCCGCAAACATATCACATTAGCTAAACAATTCGAGGATCTGGTGAAGGCAGACGAACGTTTCGAGTTGATTGCTCCGCGTGCTCTGGGACTGGTTTGCTTCCGGGCGAAGGGTGACAATGAAATCACATCACAGCTGCTGCAGCGTCTAATGGAGCGCAAGAAGATTTACATGGTGAAGGCAGAACATTGTGGGCAGCTTTTCCTGAGATTTGCCGTTTGCGGCATGGATCCAAAGCCGTCGGACATTGACTTTGCCTGGACGGAAATCCAAACACAGCTCACATCGGTATGCGCAGAGCAACAAGTGAATGCCCGCAAGGCTGGTGAACTATCCGAGCTCACACACCATTTAAGTGGATTACATGTTACAAATGAAACGCTACAGCGTTAGTTCAAAATAAGAATAAAGCATACTTCATATACATACGTATACACATACTGACATGCAGACAATATTAATAAATAATTTAAATTAATCTGGTCCAAGCGTTGGCAATGTAATAAAAATGTTAGATTTAATAAATGGAAAAATACTTAAAATCCATTTAAAGCCCAAGTCATTCCATTTTCAGAGAAACTAAAATGTCTTCAGTTTAAATACTCGATATGCATTTACGATATTGGTAAATATTAGCTGGCAGTGCTACCAGAATTACTAAATATAAACAACTAACTAATACGACAACTCTAAATTTCAATATATTTAACAAAGTAGTTTACTTATATTTTTATTACGTATTCAGTAAGCAATATTTTTAAATTTACCGCCATTTTAATTTATCTAAAATCGATATACTTATGCGATAAAACAATTTATTGAGCAGCATTGCCAGACTTAAGGAAAAATGTATGCGCAGCTGTTTATTGCAGGGATTGAAAACCGAATATGAAATCGCAAATACACTTTTTATAATTCTCTCTAAAATTTGTTTTATGATTTGTATTTGAAAGTTCCTAATTTAATTTCAATTTTATACAAATACTTTGTAAGCAAACGGAGCGTAACAGATATCATGCACTGTTCTGGCATTGAAAAGTGTATTTGTGAAATGTGTCAATTCGATAGTTTTGTTGTAAACCCAAATTATAGAGCACTCGCATTCATAACAAAATTTCACTGTTTTCGCAAAACACCCAGAAACTGATCAGGCCTGTTGACACTTTGATCTGAAATGGTAAGTGCGGACTGTTTGCTGCTGTTGAATATATTAAATAATTGAAAATGCTTTTCGCCTGTGCACAGTTATGTATAAACTAGCCAATAGGCGCAGCTTATACAATGCAGCAGCACTCCAAGCTGAGCTCACCGGGCTGCAACAGCATGGAAGCAGCCACCACGACTTCAACCATAATCTGGAGTCTGCCAAACGAAATGCCCAGATTGTGATAGTTGGCGGTGGTCTGGCAGGCTTGTCAGCGGCAAAGCATCTACTGTTGAATGGTTTTCATAGTACGCTCGTCCTGGAGGCAACGGAACGCTATGGTGGTCGCATTAACTCCAAGCGGTTCGGCGACACATTTTGTGAGCTGGGTGCTAAGTGGGTTAACATAAATGGCTCCCATGATTCCATGTACGAGCTGTTGCGTAATGCCGAAGGCCTGAAAAAGCAGCTGAAGCAGCCGTCTCCCGTAATCTATGTGCACACAGTGGGTGACGGTAAGCAAGATCAACAGAGCAAGGTACCAACTGGCATGGTTGAACAGATAGATACGTTGTTCCGAGACTTGTGCCGCGGATTCAAGGTGCGCGATAAAGTGAAGAGTGGCGGCGATTTGCACTCGTTGGACAATGTCATGGCATATTTTCAGTCGGAGAGCGACAAGCTGATAGCTTCATCCTTTAAACAGCCCGGCGAACAGGCAATAGCACGCGAGATTTTTCAGTCGCTGTTCAAGGACTTCAGCAGCATATTGGGCTGCTGTCTTGAGTATGTGAATATCCAGCATGTTACCTCATGTCCGTTGGAGCAGGACGCGCATCCGATTTACGTGCCCACTGGCCTGGACAACGCCGTCAATGCGCTAACCCACGACTTGAACAAACAGCAGCTGCAGACAGGCAAACCCGTCGGCCAAATACAGTGGAAGACGCCCTCAGATACGCAATTTGTGGGTTGCCTCGACGGCAGTCTGTATAATGCCGATCATATAATCTGTACGCTGCCTTTGGGCGTGCTAAAGAACTTTTCTGGTATCCTGTTCAAGCCTATGCTGCCGCTGGAGAAGCTACAAGCCATACAGAATCTAGGTTTTGGCAATCCAGTCAAAATCTATCTTTCCTACAAACGACCCATTGGTCGGTGGCTTAAGTCGAATCTACGTCCGTTGTGTCCATTACCGCAAGCAAATCCAAGCCCTGCCACTGAAGCAACCGATGCAATCCTAAAGCGAAGTTGGACTCGACAGATTGTGGAAATATCTCAGTTGCCTAGCAGCCAACATGTCCTCGAAGTACGCGTCGGTGGCGGATACTACGATGAGATTGAGAAGCTGCCCGATGCGACGCTGCTGGAGCAATTTACCATGCTATTACGAAAGTGCCTGTGCAACCAGAATGTGCCCTATCCGCAGGCCATGCTGCGCTCCAATTGGAATAGCTCCGCGTGTTTTCTAGGCGGCCGACCTTATTTCTCCGTCGACAGTAGCGCTCGCGATGTCCAGTCCTTGGCGGCACCTCTTGGCGATGCAGCACCAACACTTCTCTTTGCAGGCGATGCCACCGCAATGCACGGATTTGGAACCATCGATGGAGCACGTTCCAGTGGCATACGTGAGGCGCAACGTATTATCGACTTTTACAACATGAAGCACAGTGTCTAAAAAAAAAAAAAACAAACAAAAAAAAAATGAACAAAACTCGTTTCAGAACCCAAAAACCTAGTCAAAATTAACGGTTAATTCTATATATTAGTTATATAAATATAATTAATTAAGCACATATATTAAAAACGAATAGCGTTAAAAGGACAAAAATTGTATTTTATGAAAATCTTTCAGTAATAATCGACAACAGTTAGTATATAGAATAATCTATATCTGTGGATGAACCTGTTTCTTGGCTTTGCCAGTGCCATGATGACATTAAAACCAATCAAGATACTGTCATCTATGAGAGCAGTCGCATGAATGGTCGTTTCGATTTCCTCTATCTGAGATCCGAATGACGAATTTAATTCTATAATTAATTTCTTCTATAAAAAAGCAATTCTCTGTGAATCTCCGGTGTGCGTACATTTCGAAATACCGTAACTTAACATGTTATACAAATATTTAATTTGCCGATAGTTCGCGCCATGATTACAATAAGGTCGCAGTGTTTCGGTATTAAGACACGATATATACTTTGTTAGGTATTCTGTCGCAAGTGAGTTATCGGCTATTTACAATCGAATAAATAATATTCCGATTTTAGTATTTTTATTTTAATACATATACATATATTTCTTTGTTCAAAGGATAAAAGCTATATTTATTGAGTTTGCTCAAGAGCAGGCTGGCTGGTAGTCTAAATAAATATCATAGAGACAAGGCGATATAAAACCAAATTACACAGCTCTAGAGATCAAGATTCAATTAAGAAAAAGTAATCACTTTACGCTGGAGTGTAACGGTTTCTCGAGTCATATCCTGAGTAAAACTAATGAAACATCCATTGTGTTATTTATATGATAATGATTAATTAAGCACATTTATTAAATACGAGAAGCGTTTAAAGAACAACAACGATAACAATGATATTTGATGATACACTAATACTCAACAATATTTTGTATATATGTATGTATGTATGTATGTGTGGAGATATTTGAAGTACTTAAATATATTATATATGAGCCATGGTTATATTCCCTAAACATGTCAATTTATATATAGTTGGAGCAATAACTGTCTCTTTACTGCTTTTCAGCTGCCTCAGACTTTTCCAGTTCATCGGCTGCAGCGCTGACTTCCTTCCAGGAGTACTCCATGTCCTCGGATCGTGTGAAACGCGAGCAGACGGCCATGCGTAAGAAGTAAACGTCGCGTATTTTAGCGGGCACCATGTGAATGTTGCCACGTCCATTGATCCGCTTCAGCAGCGCTTCGTTGCGCTCGTTGCTGCCCTTTAGCCGGAAGCAAACCAGGCCCATGCTCACTTCTGCAGCCAGCTCAAAGCGCTTGTCCTGCTGGCAGAGATCACCGAACTGCTTGGCAAAGCCGCAGTGGCGTCTGATATGTGCCTGCAGATTCTCAACACCGTACAGACGCAGCACGAACCAGAGCTTGAGGGCGCGGAAACGGCGACCCAATGGGATTTGCCAGTGGCGATAGTCAGGCGCGGAGCCCTGCATGTCGTGCTTTAGGTACAGGGGATCAACATTGAAAGCGTTTACCACCCAACTGGGGTCCTTCAGCCACATGGCCGAGCAGTCAAAGTTGACCAGCATCCATTTGTGTGGATTGAAGTTGAAGGAATCGGCAGTCTCGATGCCCTTCATGTGGTGACGGTACTCGGGGCAGATGAAAGCTGAGCCTGCATAGGCCGCATCCACATGAACCCACACGTTGTACTTGTTGGCCACAGCACCGCACTCATCCAGTCGATCGAAGGCGCACGAGTTAGTCGTGCCCAAGGTGACAACAGCGTAAAAGGGTATTAGGCCAGCAGCCAAATCCTCTTTAATTGCCTGCTCCAAGGCATCGCCACGCAGACGATTGTGCTCATCAGCCGGAACTGAACGCAACTTGACGCCGCCCAAGAGACCAGCTCGCTCCACAGAGGAATGGGCCTGGGCCGAGGAATAGCCCACCAGCTTGCCAATGATTGTGTGCTCATCCCACTCCGGATGCTCCTTCTTTACCTGCTGTATCTTCTTGGCCTTGGCGCCCAGCAGAGCCACCAGAGTCGACTCGCTGGCTGTTCCCTGAATGACACCGCCACCTTTTCCTCCAGAGCAGGCCAAAAATTCCGCTGGCAGATCCAGCATCTTGCCCAGCCAATCGAGCATAACCACCTCCAGCTCCGTGCAGGCCGGACTCGCTATCCAAGTGAATCCGATGCAAGCAATCGCTCCACTCAGCATGTCCGCTACGATGGCTGGATACGAGTTGGCTGTCGGGAAATAGGCATGGAACTTGGGACTGTGCCAGTGGGTCACACCCGGCATGATGACTCTCTCAATGTCCTTCATCACATCCTGCCAATCCTCCGGCTTCTCTGGTGCAGCATCTGGTATCAATGGCTGCAAATAGCCAGGCTTCACCTCGGGCAGTACCCGCCTGCAAAGAGGAACAACAATTGCATTAGTCTTATTTTATTAGCAGCCATTCAAAATGCTATGCAAAGTGAAAAACTCAATTAAGTCTCAGCGTCGAGCCAGCAACCACCCAACTCAGTGCTCCCTAAAATCAATATTAATGTAATGAAAGAGTGTTGAGTGTCAACGTGATATGTTCCGCATAAAGCATTTTGAATATTCACTCACTGGAAATTATCGTAGAAGCTAAAAAACGTATTCCAATCCTACAGAATATCTACTCTTGAATGATTAGCATTATTACAAAGTTTATCCATTGATACTAGAATCATATATAATTATATCTCACTCGATCGCTAGCGTATATAAACTGTAATTCATTTGCTAAAATTTTGGTTCTGGTTCAACTTCTAGTTCTTAAACTTCGATTTCCCATGCCTCAGTGAGTGTAGCAGTAGGAAAAGTAAGGATGTACATATATGAATAAGATATTGCACGTATAAAGTATCGCTTAAGCTCATAATCTACTCTCATATAGACCGAAGGTCAGAAATGATCATTGTCAATCATTCATATTAAGTTTGAACCCTACAAGATACATATATAAAATCAATAGTCAATAAATTATTATTGAAAACCAATAAGCCATGATTAGAAACGCTTCTGAAAAGTTCACAAATTGAGCTCTGATAATTCCAAGGCAACACCAACACTGAATTGCTCAAGAACAATGTACAGGTGAGCGCTGTGGCCGGAGCTATATAACAATAATAATCATAATAATGTCGACCTTGACACGCCAACTAACAGACGGCAAAACCTTATAATGTTGTAATTAATGCCATTGCAAAAAAAAAAAACTTAAAATTCGTGAAAGGTCTCAGCTAGAAGGCCGAAACAAGTGAACAAATCTAACTCGAGAAACTTTCCCATTGACTCACCTGACTCAAGCGTTGTGGCAAAAGGTTATTGAAATAAGAATATAAAAATATAAAAATAAAAATTTAAAGCTCGAAAATCATTTATGTTTCGATTAAAATCGAAAGTGTAATAAGCAAATTATGTTGGAATCCAAGTATGAATGGAATATCAGATATTCTTTTAATTTGTAATTTCACAAATAAATTGTAAGCGTTTCTGGTCCACTGTGCAATGTATCGATCAATAATTCACATGCGGAAATTGGAAGGGTGTTACTAACTATAGGTCAATTAGAACGAACTTTCAAATTGAATCCGAATTCGCATTCATATCAGAGGTCAATTCGAGTCAATGAATACGTTATGTATTTATGGAATACATGAAGTGTCAATTGAATTGTAACTGGTTCGCTCACTCACCTGTCGCGCACATTCTCCAGGTAATCGGCTATATAGTCAACCATTGACTTGGCAAAGTCTTTGAATTCGGGCGCTTCCATATCGATCTGTAAATGCAATTCCAGCAGTCACATTATTTATTTCGTTTAATTAAATTTACACAAATATACTAAAAATAAAAAGATAATAACAAAACCAAAACCAAACCGAATACTCACCGAGACACTGGAATCCAGTTTATCTGCCACCAAAGTGTTAGCTTTTGCCTTACTCTCACTTGGCAAGGGCATATTAGTGTTTGTAGAGCCTTTACTCATGATCAAAAATGTATATTTACTATAGCTAGCTAAAGCAGCATTAGTTATTAGTGAATGAATTAAATGTTAGTTAAATTTAAATGCTGTGTAAGTATATGTTAACAGCTGCTTGTGTAATATAGAAATGTAGAAAGCTCTCAAGTCTGATAATGCTAATCAGTATAAGCTCTGTAATGTTATGCTCTAATGACAATAAAGATTAAATATAACAACTTTATTAATTAAATTATAATATATTATTAAATAAAAGCATTGCACCGACAGCATAATAATCAGTAAAACTTATAAATCTCTATATGTTTAGGTACTTTAGATAATTATCTATCTGATAAAGATGTCTACAGTGAATTTAGAAGATATAATTGTCTTGAAGCAGACTACATTATTTCAATTTGGTGTACAGTAATCCAGCTCAAAAGCTTTTAGAAGTGATCCAACTATAAAACTTGTCATAGTGGAAAAGTCGAATTTAATTCAATTGCAAAACGTAACTAAGGTCTACAAAAATCCAACTAGCAAACTTGTTGATGTAGTTACCAATTTGCATAATACATAATTCTCTTCTTAGTCCTTAGCCTACCCAACATACTCTACAATTTATGAACAAGTATACAAATAATTCACTCTGTTTTAGTCTCAATGAATTTTTACTTATTCTATTTGAAGTAAATTAAGCTATTTGTTTAGCCGTAGATTTTCGATTTTGATTTGGTTAAACTTAACAAACATTTAATTTCATACCACTTTTATATTTACCCAATTTTTTGAAGTGTAAGAGAATACACGTTTAAGCAATAGAGCAAAAAAATGTTTTTTTTTTTTTTTGTTTGCCAATTTGTTTGCTTGACTTTAGGCACAACAAGAACCTTGCATACAATCAAAAGTTAATTCGCTTGCAGTTTCATTTTTACTGTTTAGCTTTAATAAAGGTACGTGGAAAACCTTTTGCAAAGCAAACAAGTCAACCCAGAGTTGTTTGGCCTTGAGGCTCAAATGTAAAATAAGTAAAAGCAACAAGTTATAGAAACCAGATCAGAACCAGGTCCAACTAAATACAAAATTGATAAGACTGTTTGGAATGTCGAAATTGACCAAATAGACAACAAGGCTAAGTGCTGAATGCTGAATGCTAAGTTAAGTTGCGTTGAGTTGAGTTTTGATTTAAATTAAAGCACATCTTAAAAGGTCATTTGGCAGCATGTATACGCATTAAGTATACGCTCCATTGCTTCAGTGTGATTATTATGTTATGTATTTTAAAGCACATTAATTGTTTAAATATGGCCAAGAGGCACACGCATAACAACTCACATATATATATACACACACACACTCACCGCTGTGCACTTAAGTTGACTGCTTTTAATTATTTGCACTTTTTTTCGTCTTGGCTATTGCTGAGCTTATGTTACGTTAAGTTACGTGACGTTACGTTACGTGGCGATACGCGTTTGCTATTTAGTTAGTTGCTCGTCTATGATTTAGTCAAGAGGTGCCCGCTCCGGCGTCCGTTAGCCAACTGAGTGCTGCTCGTCGTTCAACGAGGCCTTTTAAAGCATCGCCTCACCTCGCCTCGATTCGCTCCGCGTCGCTCGGTGAGCTTTGTGAGCCGCGAGTGCAGCCGCAGGACCGGTTCACTCGCTTCCCTCAATCGCAAATCTCAAAACGCTGAGCTGGATTTGAATAAATTAATTTGTACTATAAAACAACAAGTGTGCCTCGGTGTGCATATAATTTATATATACTTTTGCTAACAAACCAAAAATAATTTTTTTTTTTTTTTTGCACGCGCCATGTCTTTTTCACACAAAGTGCATTAAACTGCGTATGCAAGATGAGAGAATATATTTCAGTGAAGCTGAAGACTAAATTAGCATGCGTATAATCCAGTTTTTTAACAGTAAATAAGAGAATTCCCCATTGTGATTCATCCGTCGTATGTGGGGGATTCCTCAAACTAACAGAGGCGACAAACACGAATTGAATAGTAAACGAGAAAGAAGTATAAAAAACATTTCGATGCAAAATAAAAAAACTAATTTACATTAAACACTCGATTTGCTGGACCAAATTACAGAAATTGTTTTTGTAACGCTAACTCATAGATAAAGCAAAAAGCAGAGGGAGAGAGAGGAAGAGAGAGGCTACATTAATGTATGCTGACGTATGTTCATTTGAGCTACGCTCTGCGTTATTTGCGCTCTCTATATCCATTCACATTACGTGAATTCCACTCTCTTTAGATTCTCTGTCTCTTTCTCCCCTTCTATGGGCATCAGAAGGAGTCGGCGCCACCCAACTGTTGCTGAGTGTGTGCGTGTGCCTGGCATTTCAACGAAGCCACTTTGGCAAATCACTTGAATGAATCAACAGATTTTTGCCATGGCAACCGTTAACTTTTCTCTTATTGTGCTGTCGCACAATAACCCACCCCCAAGGGGAAGCGTTTCTGCTCTAATGAGTGGGAGGGAGGGAGAGAATGTTGATTTTCTTACTCGATGCTGAAGTACTTCCATTTGATTTATGGCTGACTTGAGTTGAGATGCTGAGGGCTTGTGTGACGGCGCCCAGAAGTGGGGGATTACATAAACGAGCAGACAAAGCTCAAATGGATTCTGTATGCAGTGATAAAATTGCTATTGGAAATATTTAGCATATATAGATAAAAATAACTTTTGCACTGATAGCCTTAACCCTTGTTAAACTTTTGTCGAGTTAGGGATACCGAAAAGGTTCATTATTCATAGCCAAATGAAATTGGGCAGTTATAAAAAGATTAAATGAGTAGAGTAAGTATAGGTTTTTGTTTAAGTTATATTCTAACTTATTTATACTGAAAGCAATCAACCGTATCTTTGTACAAAAATACGTGATTATAGGAAAGGTTTTATTTTTAAATTTAAAGATTATGTTGAAGCTATCTAACAACTTTTAGAATCTGTGTATGTCTCTATTAACTTACTAGTTTAGATTAGTAGACCATCGAAACATGGCGACATACATATATTATCAACGTTCATTGAACATAAAGATACTCTATATGCTTCCAAAGAAAAATATATATCTGTATATGAACTTACCAACTTTTGTGTATTTTGTAGCTAATTTCTAATAAATAGAATTAATCAAGTATATGTTAATCTCCTCAAGAGTCAGAGACGCCCTCTCCAATATTTATTCTTAAAAAATCCAAAAAAGTTTGAGCGAAATAACTAGTAAAGATAAGAGAATTTTTTTGTCATACTAATCATTGTTAAACTCTTCAATGATAGTCAGTGTAATTAATAGTGATGTCTAACCACGTTTTCTATCTATAAGACCAGATGGTAGAGCAGTACGTGGATTAGATTAACAGTTCGGTAGTAAATTAAAAACGGTCAAAATGTCGAATGACTCGATAAACTCTTTTAGGTACTCATCTTATTTTAAGTAAATAGTTTTTTACCTCTGGTAAATTTTTACAAAAGAAAATACACAAAAATTAAAAAAGATTATACAATTAGTTATGGAAAAAAATTCTAGAATATAGATAGTAAAAGAGCAAAATATATTACTCGAATCAGTTGTAACACACAACAACAAATAACAACACTATGTGGTTTAGGTAGAACCGGAAACACATAGATAAGCCAAATTTGAAAGAAACTCATAAAAATTGACAAACAACCATTAGTTTGTAAAAATTTCAATTTCGTTTTTTTTTTTTTTTTTTTTTGTAATTTGAAACCTTTCATTTCAGTAATGAAAAGTGAAATGTTATCTCAGTAAACTATCGTTAGACAGGCAGTTATGCAACCATATTAAAGGTCTTAATCTGTCAATTTCTTTCTTAGTATAATGTGTTTTTTTTTTTTTTAATGTCAAATAAACGTCTGCATATTATTTTATTTGGGCCATTAATATGGAACAAAATTAAGATGAGAAAGCAATATATGGACAATTAAAAACTATACCTATCTTCATGATTATCTAGTAATACCTGATGTTGAAAAATATTAAGTTTTAGTTAACCTCTCTGAATGAAAATCTTGAGAAATAAAATATATATGTTATAAAAAAAGAGGCATTTCAGCTTCTTAGAAAAATTTCCTGTATTTACTTATATATATTTATGTAAATACAAGTAGTATATATATATATATATACTAATATTTACATATGTAAGTCTCCTTCATATTTGGCTGTTTTACGTCTAGTAATTACTGTGATGATATAAGGGATCTCTAATTAATCTCTTATTATCATCGACAACCAATAAACATTGGAATTTTTATTTAAATATTATATTCTATTATTTAAGTTTATACTCGTATTTCCATTTCCATTTCTTCGCTCGGATATATGTACATATTTAATATGACATATGTGTGTACACACATATACATACATATTTGTATATAATAGTAGTTTTTATTCGCCTTCCATATTAATTACTTCAAATAATAATTACACAATTCTTAACACCTTCAACGTTCTCATAGTGTAAGTCGAATTTAGCTATATATTGAATTTTGATATTAAAATTGCAAATACCAGATATTTAGGTTTCATATTTAATATGTATTTATTGTGTTGAATTCTTTTGTTCACATAACAAATTTTTGAAAAGTCCAGCAACATGTAAATCGATTTCGCCCATTCCGTCAGATGCTCCCAATTGCTAATTGTTCAGTTGGCAACAACAAAAGTTGAACAATTTATAGGAACACGTAATCAAAGCACAAAAATGATCAAAAATGTTGGCTGATTGGTTACTGCGGACGAGCGATGAATGCAAAATGCAGAACACGTTGCTGTGATGTTTGATTTAGAAACATAATCGAAAGTACTTAATAAATGCTACAGGTAGTTACAACTTAAGACGATTAGGCACGAGCTCTACTGCGCCAGGGTTGAGGGCAGATTGAGCAGGGTGCTTTGTCCGCTGGGCAAATAGGCGACGCCACGGGATCTCGATAGCTGATAGGCAATGTCCTCGGCAGCTTCAATACGACGCAGCTCAACCAGACCATCACCAGCCTCCGCGAATGACCTGGCCAGCAAATCGGCAGCAGCAGCATCACCCTCAGCTGAAATAATGGAAGCCAGCTTCTGTTGTTCTGCTTTCTCGACGACAAATCGTGCCTTCTCGGCCTCCTGCTGGGCCACCTGTTTCATTTCCACAGCCTGTGTGAATTCACGTCCAAAGGTCAAGTGAGTCAACGAGATGTCATCCAAGATGAAGCCAAACTGCTTGGCGCGTACAGTCAACTCCTGGGACACACGTTGCGACACCATCTAAAGATGAAAAGCAATTGTTTTGAATTTATGTTTAATAAATCCATCAAATTGTTTGAGCTCACCTCACGCTGTGTAATCAGCTCGCCGGCATCGAATTGAGCGACAACGGCCTTGAGCACCTCAGGCGCAATGGAAGGCAGCACACGCTCATCATAATCCTGACCGAGAATCGTATAGATCTTTGGTAGCTCATCCGGAATAGGGCGATACAAGATACGCAGCGTAATGTTCACATTCTGCAAATCCTTGCTGCCGGTTATCACTGGAACATTTCTGGGCTGGGAACGGATGTCGAAGATAATGGGTCGCTGCACCCAAGGTATGAAGAAGTGTGTGCCCTCGCCAACAACATGCTCCTTGATGCCAGTGAAGCGATCGAAAATCACAGCCCGATGGCCACCTTCAACATTATATAATGCGGAGTTCACAACGCCGCCGAGCAGGGCAACGCCGAGACCCATTTGGCCAATGCGGTTAAAGAACTGAGCAGCCATTATACTTAAAAACAAAAAACAGAAAATTATACAGTTTATATATATATAAATTAGTAAACGTCTATTGTGTATATGTTTATGTAAATCATTGGAAAGCCGACTCAGTTTCACATTTCATCAGATTTTTAGGTTAGAACGTCATGTAAACTTGTGAAGTGCACAGCTTACGCTTTTATTAAGGTATAGAATATATTTTTCTTGTATAAGTATTTACAATATATAGTTTAACTAACTTTTTAAGTGATTCTGCGTTAATGAAAAATGTATAATTACGTTAAAGACTTTACAATATTGCTCGCTGTATTAAAACCGCACGCAATGAAACGACAGCTGACAGTGTTGAAAATTGCCAATAGCGGCAATGTGAATGCATGCTGATGATTAGTGTTGCACAATAGACACAAATATCGATATTTCGATAGATTCCACAATATTTCAATCAAAAGCAATTCAAATATTATTTTCTAAAAAATGTGTCCATATTCATTTATTGCGTCATCTCTGCTCGTCCAGCTCCTTTAGGCATTTTTTTGTTAGTTGAATCCTCCAGTTCCTTTGCCTTGTAATAATGGGGTGCTACCTCCAGAAGCCATTTGCTTTCAATCTCAATGACCTGACGCATGTACTCCTTGGAGGTGAATACTAGCTCATGATAGAGCACCCATCGTGGCAGCTCCTCAAACAACGAGGAGTTCGGATGTATCATGACTGTTTGATTGTGCTTAATTGTCTTATAATTTCCGCCCTTCGACAAACGT